GCAATGAGGTAGGATTCCAACTTTATTCTTTCTTATGGGCCTAAAGCGGGACCCACACTTTCTGCCATTTACAAAACCGGCGGCATTCACATGCCCCCTTCATATGGCACGGTCGTTATAACCTTGTTAGGCACACTCCAGCCTGCAAATGTCTAAAACAATCAATTTATTCCATTAAAAACCATCTGGTAAGAAAAACCATCTGGTAAGAATCCACCTAGAATTTGGAGAGGTACTATGAAACATCTGACAGCTACTATTTGGGGCCATTTTATAAGATGGTTACACAGAGTTTTTGAGTAATTTAGTAATTTTCATAGATAAGGTTCAAAAGAGACCTGCCAAAACGTCTATGAAAAAAATAAGCAAAATAACACTATGCTCTAAAAGTACAAATACCTCAATAATGACTACAAGAATAATGGCACATTATACCCTGAAATTCAATTGGGATATTTATTCTTCCCAAGCAAACACACAAGTACGGGCTCATTAAGGCTTGGACTTACCTCATCTATGTTTCTAAGCCATTTGCTGATGTTTTCAAAACTTTTACCATTGGTGATGTCATATACTAGCATAATACCCATTGCTCCCCTGTAGTAGGAGGTTGTGATGGTGTGGAATCGCTCTTGGCCTGCTGTATCCCTGAAACAAACAGCCAAGATTTTATATTAAGTATTTTGTTATTACTGTATTCTAGATTTTTAAAAAAAGGATAGTTTGGCAACATAGGCACAAATTAAAATCCACAACACACAACAATGCATTTTAGATGCCACTTTTAAGCTTTTAAGTTATCAAGACACCACTCACCAAACAAGTAGCAGAACATGTATTTTATGAGTTATATGTCAACTGATCAAGTTGTCCCACGAGACGGTGGTGGTAAAGCCCAGGAAAACTACTCTGTGAGGTATGTGGTTATACACACTAAGTATTGGTAACTGTGCCTCTTTTATGTGAAACACATATGCATGTGCTGCTGTTGTTAGGCGCCGGCGAGTGGGTATGTGCTGCTGTTGTTAGGCGCCGGCGAGTGGGTCCTGACTCATGGTGACTCAAGACCACAGTTTCCAACAACTATTTCTCCCTCGTTGCTTCCGACTTTTGCATTCTAATTACCAATAATTATAAATGCTCTTGACTGCGTGGTTATCAACTGAAGACCTTGGTAGAATTCTTCAATTTCTGTACCACTAGTAGATTTAGAGGTTGGTGCATAAATCTGAATAATAGTTGCATTGACAAGAATTCCTTGAGTGTGGATAGATAATATTGCAGACAGCATTATATTTCAAGATGGATCTTAATTTTATTTTATTTTTTATTAAGAACACAACACCATTCCTCTTAAATCTCTCATTCCAGGTGTGGTAAGCCATGTTTTACTGATTCAAAATGGCCAGCCTAGTAGTTTCAGCTCACCAATGCCTAGTCTCTAGACTCTAGGCCCTAGAGTATCTATATTTATGCAATTCCATTCTCTTTTCTACAACTTCTAATCTTCCTAGATTCATACTTCTATATATTCCAAGTTCCATTTATTAACTGATGTCGGCAGCTGTTTCTCCTCATTTTGAGTCATGCCCCATCCCTCCCAGACGGTAACTCTTTATGAGAGTAGAAAGCCTCAACTTTCAACAACAGGTACTGAGACAGTGAACTATTTTATATGGCTCTTAATGTAGTCTTTGTGTAACTCCCACGGAATGACTTTTTCCTGATGGGTAGGGGTACATACTAATAAGATTATAGGATTCAGTTGTAAGGAGGCTGTTAACAGCTAAACTAATTGTGATTGTAAAAATTTGTAATTCTAACATGGTGATTGGTTAATTTTGCTATCCTACTGGGTATCGAAATAAGCCATCTGTAGGAGCAGGAAAGGGGGTGTCTCAATACCATTACGAAAGAGACAGGAGAAGCATGTGTTCTTTGGACTTGATGATTCCTATAAATTGAATGAGAGAGACAGCAGAAGAGTAGCAGCAGGACTAAGAGCCACAGCAGTGGGCTTCCCAGCCAGCAGGCGTGAGTAAAGCTGAGTGCCCTCACCCAAGAGGACTGCTTGCAGAGTAGAGTGCCTCCAGGTACTGAACTGGAAAGGCTACATTTGCTAGTCCATAGAGCTAGAACTGAGTGAGTGCCTTTGGGCTGAGGCTTTTGGTAGAGTGGAAGATCTTTTGAGCATTTAAAAAAAAGTTTATTTTTGGGGACCCAATTACAAGAATCTAAGTATAGACTAAGTATAGAATCTAAGTATATCCCTGGGGAATGGACAGCAGAGAAGAGGGCGGAGGGAGACGTCGGACAGTGTAACTTATGACAAGACTATAATAATTTATGAATTATGAGGGGTTCAGGAGGGAGGGGGAAAATGAGCAAACGATATTGAGGGCTAAAGTAGAGGGCAAATGTTTTGAGATTGATGAGGGCAACAGGTGTACATATGTGCTTGACTCAATGGATGTATGTATGGACTGTGATAAGAATTGTATGAGCCCTCAATAAAATAATTTTTAAAAAAATGTACAAATGCGCTTTATACAATTGACGTATGTATGGATTGTGATTAGTTGTATGAGGCCCCAATAAAATGACTTAAAAATTTATTTTTGTTATTGATGCTGTTTTGGTGTATTTTTGTTTATTTGCTCGTTTTTTGGGTGGTGGTGGAGGGGTGGGTTTAAACAATACAACTTTATTATTTTGTAATTATAAAGGTTTCAGAAGCCCAACGTGATTCTCTTCGGGCTAAAATCAAGTTGTTAGCAAGGCTGTTTATTTCTAGAGTGTTTTTGTTTTTGAAATCATTTTATTGGGGGCTCTTACAGCTCTTATAACATTCCATATATCAATTGTATGAAGCACATTTGTATATATGTTGCCATCATCATTTTCTAAACATTTACTTTCTATTTGAGCCCTTGGTATCAGTCCCCTCCCCCAGATAAATTATAAATTATTTTTGTTTTCATATTTTACACTAGCGGCCGTCACCCACGTTTCTGCTGTTCGTTGGGGGAGGGGGGGGTTATTCGTCCATCATTGCAATCAGTTTCCTTTTCCTCCCCCCTACCCTCCTGGTATCCATAACTCCCATTTCTGCTCTTGAGGGGTTTACCTGACCTGGATTCCGTGTGTCATGAGCTCTTATCTGTACCAGTGTATATGCTCTGGTCTAGCCAGAACTGAGGTCATGATAGTGGAGGATGAGGAAGCCTCAAAGAACCAGAGGAATATTGTATTTCATCAGTGCTATACTGCACCCTGTTTGACTCATGCCTTCCTTGTGACCCTTTTGTGAGGGGATGTCCTATGGTCTATAGATGGGTTTTGGGTCTTGGCTGACCCCCCTCATTCTCAACCACATGGTTTTTTGTTTTGTTTTGGGTCTTCTGGTGCCTGTTACCTGATTCCGCCACACCTCAGCTTTTCGGAGTTTTAAGGAGAATCTGTTTCCTTGACTGTTCCAGATTCTCAAGGTCACACAAATTATTTGGCTCATGGACCTCGGCCCTCCATCTTTAGGCCAGTGTCTAACCAAACTGAGCATTTCTTAGGCTGTTATTTCTCTGGTTCTTGCTCCTTTGAGCATTTATATCAGCAATGCTAAATGAGCTTTGTAACATTTGCCAAAGCAGGGCATAGGGCAAGGGGGCATGTGGCTGGGAAGATGCTGGCTGACCAAAAACTAGGTCTTAAACATTTCTGATCTTTAGTTAAAAACTGTTAACTTCCCTAATAAACCTCATAATCACAAGTATTGTCTGTGAGAGTTCGGTGTGGCCACTTTAATAAATTACTGAATCCGCGTGAGAAAAGGAGAGTGCTGTAGGAGGGACAGTTGGTGTCAGAGTTGGTAAAAAAGGCTGGAGTGTGGGGGCATGGCCGATCACTGCCTCATAGGAATTGGCATTGGGCTGATATGGAGCTTAATTCTCCTTCCTGGTGAAGTCAAGTGTTTCCCCACCTGCACCCTGCCCCCAATTTTTACAACCACTCAAGAGGCATGCTACCAAGGTAGTTATGCGTGGGTTGCTAACGGAACAATCAGCACTTGGAAACCACCGGCAGCACTGAGGGAGAAAGCTGAAGCCTTGAAAACCCACGGGGGCCAGTTCTACTCAGGCTTATAGGGCACTATGAGTTGGAATCAACTTGATAGCAGTGAGCTTATTTTGGGGTGGGAGAAGAGTGCTATCAACTCTTCTAGGCTTTATTCTAAACACTAAAAGACTATGCGCTAACGTACTGATTGAAATTTATACACTTAACTTACATTCTTAAGATCACAATTCTTATTTCCATGACCTTATTTAATATAATATCAACTTACTAAGACTTATTACAAGAAACAGCATTATGGAATCTTATTCTGTATACTGTAATTTCCCCCCTTAATTTTGTAAAATAACAATGTAATTTACTGGGAAACCCTCTTCCTGGTTTTGACTGCCAAGAAGTTTAAGATTAATTTTACAAATTGATAACAGTAACTAAGTTGTCCTTTAAAAACTGTCATCATGTCAATTCAGACTCAGCGACCCCATATGATCAGAGAACTCCCTAGAATTTCTGAGGCTGTAAATCTTTGTAGGAGCAGGTCAGTGTATTTTTCTCTGAGTGGCTAGTGGGTTCAAACCAATGACCATGTGGTTAGCATCCCAATGTTTAACCACTGAGTCACCAGGACTTCTTGCTTAGTAATAGCAGTACATTACAGCTTCTCTCTTTCTCTTTTATTAAGCTTGTGGATTCCATTATGTCTTCAATCAGGTGTAATAAGAACGCTCATGGGAGGTGGGTAATCAAAGACGCATCAAGGAGTAGAAATAGCCTTTTCTGAAAGGGTAAAAAGTGTAAATTAATGAATAACTCCACCCGTAGAGGGTGTTACAAAGTTACAAAGTTACTTAAAATCCAGACTGGAAATGTACTTATCCGAGACAAAGAGTTTGGAGGGCCTGGGTAGCCAGTGGTGCCTAACTCCTACAGTGTAGGAGGGATAGAAAACCTTCACTTCCATTTTTGTCATGACTAATAGCCACTTAGAGAAGCACTCACTATGTATACCACCCCAACACTTTCTAGCTATTACATACTTCCTCCTTCCCTACTACTTCACATTACACAATTAGCAAATTATATACACATTTCAAACTCAAATCTATGACTAAATTCCCACAAGGAAAGAAAACACGCTGCAAAAGGGCCTACTCTGCAAAACCTACAACAGCAGCATCTACAGAGAGGAGGGGTTTTATGGTGCTGACTGGCCATAAATTATCAAAATAAAAGACTTAGAAACATTAACAAAAAGAGAGAAAGAAACATTAACGGTCCCTCTAAAATGAAAGGTAAAAACTATTTGTGTTTAAAGTTTTGATCCCTGGTATACTTGCAGAATTTCTGTCTCTTCCATTCTTGCAGAGGCTCTTACCCAATGGTCCTTTTGACATGAGCCTCACTGAAAATGCTACGCTTTTCATACTGTCTTCATGTGTACATTTCCAACATGACTGTGACTGTACCACACAATGACCTGCCTCTCTGATTCCTTAACCCCACATTATCCTCTCCTGTCTATATTCTCATTTTCCTGGGTCCTGCCCATTGCTAAGGCAACCAACAATTTATTTCAA